TAATGATTTTCTAATTTGGTCGCTAAGAACGAATTGTACAGTGCTGTACAGTTTCCAAGTTGCTGTATAGTTTCTGAAGCTGCAAATGACTTTAGAAACTTGACTCTTACGTAGGACAATCAAATATGATTTTTCTTCATAAAAGTATACGTAGCACTGATTGTTATGAGTAAATATCAGTCTAAACAAGTAAAACTAGAACTTTTGAGGCAAACACGTAAGAATCACAAAAGCAAACGTTGTTTCTTGATTAGATCGAAAGAGATGCAGCTATCATTCACAATCGACATCTGCTTTGACATTTACGAAGCTCTTTCTTCTAGCGTCGATGGCGTCAAGTAATCTACAACCCACAAAACAGACGAACACAAACATTGAACAGCAGAGTCAGAAACAAGGGCAGAATCTAGAAACATTTGCTCTCTTGTGGCTTGATCAGAACGTGAATAAAAGCAAAGACAATTTAAAAACACAGACACAATTGCGGCGATCCATCAACTGTTTATTGACGTTTGAAAGTGGAAATGAGTGTGAAGAACATATTGGAGAAAGCAAAGATCAAAAGATTGTTCTAATCGTTTCTGGTCGATTAGGCAGAGCAATTGTCCCGAAAGTTCACGATCTGCTCCAGCTAAGCGCAATTTACGTTTACTGCACGAACAAAAAAAAGAATGAAATATGGGCAAAATCTTATAAAAAGGTAAAAGAAGTTGTCTTCAGAGCACCAGACACTTTCAAGCAGCACCAGACAAGATTGCCTTGATATGGCATGGCAGTCTTGTGTCTGGTGTATCCCACACAGGTCGGCAAAGAAACAATCTGAAGTTCTGAAAACACTCTGTTCTGTCTCTACAATCTGGTTATGAATGTGTGAGCTAGCAAAGGCGTGATTCAATGATGGATGCTTCCGAAACTAGAATCGTTTGTAGTCTGAAGACGGCACACTGTCGCTCCATCTTCTTATCGGACTTTTACAGCAAATAAACACGAAACAAGTCATAGAACTCCGTGTACTCTTTAGAATGCCTCACAATTCTCGTTTATTCTCTGCCGCTTTTCTAGATCAGAGCCGTAGTTGTTGAACTAAACGAGCTCGTCGAGACAATATGCAAAGATCAGGCGAAACGAGAGAAAACAGAAGATTCGATCTCAATCAGCATCTACGATAGAACACACACAAATCTCAAATCAGACAACAGCTCATTCATGTGGTTTCAGCTGTTTATTGAAGTTCTACTCCGAATGGAACATTCACAAACATCGAAAGATGAACTTGTTCAAATCTGCAACGAACACTATCGAGGTAATGATGCGGACCTTGAGATTATTCGTGAATTTCATCAAAGCGATCATGCATATATTACATACATCTCTAGTAGGGAGTATCGCAGCATTTCTTTTATCTCTTGATTCAAACTTTTCAACGGTAACATAAATAGAAATAACAAGCCATCATCTAGTGGATGCTCGTTTATCAATGCCGTTCACCTGCAGAAACCGGATCAGAAAGGAATTAGCTCATGCTTCTCTCTTTAGGATTCAAATTGTTACGCAACATGCCAGAAGTTCGATCTCGAGTTACTATCTAATAAAATGAACGAAAAGGTCATTGGAAGATATCTCCAGCAAATCGCTGATACCTGTAAAACTTTCGGCTCCCTTTCAGAATGAAAGTGGTAAATATAAATCGCATAAATTGCCAAACGATGACCATGTCGTTCCAAAGGAAGGAAGACAAAAGTGACTGACTGACACCAACTTTATTTCTATCTATAAATAGAGGTATGCAAGGCACCGGGTGATCCGAGACACTAAGACATAGTTAACTTGCCTAAGGTTATGAGGGTGCGAGAGTGACTGACAAGGAGCTCAAATTGATAACGTCATATCTCGATGATTCCAAACATACAAACCGTCTGATGCTCTACGATGGTACACTCGAGACTGTTTTCTCTACAAGATGCTAAACAAAGCACTTCGAGTTCAGAACATCGACATTCTCTTCGCACTTCGATTTCTAATCACCGATATTCACAGCCAGCTCATAAAAGAATCGTCCAACACAAACATCAGTCGATTGTACCGTGGTCAAGTGATGTCTAAAGATGAACTTGCTCGCATTCGTTCAAGTATTGGCGAATTCATCTCGATAAACTCATTTCTATCCACAACTCGTAGTCAGATCAAGGCACTTCAGTTTGCTCAGAGTGCTCGGTGTGGAGACCTGGACTGTGTTCTGTTCAAAATCAAAGTCCAGAGTCGAATAAAAGCAAAACCGTTTGCCGATATTTCTCGATTGAGTTATTTCCCCGGTGAGGAAGAAATCCTGCTTATGCTCGGTTCGATCTTTCGACTTGCAAGTATTCACTGTGACAAAGAACAGCAAATCTGGGTGGTTGAATTAGATTTATGCAACGAAGATGACCATGATTTGAAACAAGTGTTTGATCATATGAAGAAAGAGATGGGGAGCGAAACTACTCTCATTTCACTTGGAAATTTGTTCTTTGAGATGCGTGACTTGCACAAGGCCGAAAAATATTATAGACGATTGTTAAATGAGCTAGCAGTGGGTGATTCAGCGATTGCTGGCTGTTATGTCGGACTAGGCAATGTTGCTCGAGAGAAAGGTGAATATGATTTAGCTCTGATGAATTATGAAAAAGCATTGAAAATCGACCTGAAAGCTCTTCGGCCCGATCATCCTGATATCGCCTCAGCATATAACAATATCGGTATTGCACACAGTAACAAAGGTGAATATGATTTAGCTTTGATGAATTATGAAAAAGCATTGAAAATCCACTTAAAAACTCTCCCATCGAATCACCTTGATATCGCCACTACATATTATAATATCGGTGCTGTATACAGCAACACAGGTATATATGATTTAGCTCTGGTGAACTATGAAAACGCGTTGGAAATCAGAGTAAAAGCTCTTCCACCCGATCATCCTCTACTCGCCTCAACATATAACAATATAGGAAACGTGCAGTGGAACAAAGGTGAATATGATTTAGCTTTGATGAATTATGCAAACGCGTTGAAAATCAGAGTAAAAACCCTTCCACCCGATCACCCTCTACTCGCCTCAACATATAACAATATCGGAAACGTGCAGTGGAGCAAAGGTGAATATGATTTAGCTCTGCTGAATTATGAAAAAGCATTGGAAATCGACTTGAAAGCTCTTTCACCCGGTCCCCCTGATATCGCCTCAACATATAACAATATTGGTGCTGTATACAGAAACAAAGGTGAATATGATTTAGCTTTGATGAATTATGAAAAAGTATTGAAAATCCACTTAAAAACTCTCCCATCCAATCACCTTGATATCGCTACTACATATCACAATATTGGTACTGTATACAGCAACAAAGGTGCATATGATTTAGCTTTGATGAATTATGCAAATGCATTGAAAATCAGAGTAAAAGCTCTTCCACCCGATCACCCTCTACTCGCCTCAACATACAGCAATATCAGAAGTGTGCGGTGGAGCAAAGTTGAATATGATTCAGCTCGGATGAATCTTGAAAAAGCATTGAAAATTGATTTGAAAGCTCTTCGACCCGATCAACCTGATATCGCCTCAGCATATAAGAATGTCGGTATTGCACACAGTAACAAAGGTGAATATGATTTAGCTTTGATGAATTATGAAAAAGCATTGAAAATCCACTTAAAAACTCTCCCATCCAATCATCTTGATATCGCCTCAACATATAACAATATAGGAAATGTGCAGTGGAACAAAGGTGAATATGATTTAGCTCTGATGAATTATGCAAGCGCGTTGAAAATCAGAGAGAAAACTCTTCCACCCGATCACCTTGATATCGCCACTACATATTACAATATTGGTGCTGTATACAGAAACAAAGGTGGATATGATTTAGCTCTGATGAATTATGCAAACGCGTTGAAAATCAGAGTAAAAGCTCTTCCACCCGATCACCCTGATATTGCCGCAACATATAACAATATAGGAAATGTGCAGTGGAACAAAGGTGAATATGATTCAGCTCTAATGAATTATAAAGAAGCATTGAAAATCTACTCAAAAGCCCTTCCATCCGGTCACCCTGATATCGCCGCAACATATAACAATATTGGTGCTGTATACAGAAACAAAGGTGAATATGATTTAGCTTTGATGAATTATGAAAAAGCATTCTACTCAAAAGCTTTTCCACCTGATCACCGTGCTATCGCCTCATTATATAACAATGTCGGTAATGTGCAGTGGGATAAAAGTGAATATGATTTAGCTTTGATGAATTATGGAAAAGCATTGAAAATCTGCTCAAAAGCTCTTCAACCTGATCATCCTGATATCGCCTCAATATATAACAATATCGGTAATGTACAAGCTGATAAAGGTGAATATGATTTAGCTTTGATGAATTATGAAAAAGCATTGAAAATCGACTTGATAGCTCTTCCACCCGATCACCCCGAGGTCGCCTCAAGATACAGCAATATCGGTATTGCACACAGGAACAAAGGTGAATATGACTTAGCTCTGATGAATTATGAAAAAGCATTGAAAATCTACTCAGAAGCTCTTCCACCTGATCATCCTGATATCGCCTCTACATACCGTAATATGGGACTCGCGCATGAAGCAACTTGTACTTGGCAATCAGCATTAGACTATTATAACAAAGCAGCAGCAATAACACGCAAATTACTTGCGACAACGCATCCGCAGCTGGTAACTATTGAGATGGACATTCGAAGAGTGAAAGCGCAATTAAAGTAGACATTTAGAATGGCTGCGTATGATTATAGACAGTGGCTTGTTCTTCTGGTTTCCAGGAAATTACCACGCTGAAGGTTCTAGAAAATCATCCAGAACATTGTGAAGATGTAAGGAAAGTTCTCCACTCATTAGTGGATATTTTTAGTCGCGTGTGATGTCTTTAAAGGAGTATATGATCTATTTCTATTTGTTTAAAAATGAAGTATAGTGTATTCAGTTCTTCTAACGATTGTTGGTTTGTTCTTTCTATGTGTAAGTGACGTACAAGGTGGGGACGTACAAGGTGAAAAAACCTGCCTTTAGGTGTGTGCAGCTTAGAATTAAGTGCCACTTTAAGTGTTTAGTTCCGAAGTACCACTTAAGTGATTAAGTGTCAGTTCAAATTTCACGTCTTCCTGGAAAGTCAAAAATTCAACCCTGTATTTCCGAAATATACAATGGATGGACTGCGGCTATTCCGCGTCATATGAGTCTGTTTGTTTTCATCATTTTAATGAACAAAGTTAGAAAGCACCTACAAATGTCAATAAAAACCGAAAACTATTTCTTTCAATATAGATCAGCCGATTTTAGTGACAAGACAATAGTTATTTTTCTCTTTCTTTTTACTGTTGCTATTCTACTATGTATAGACGGACGATGGGTTTAGCACAGTCTTTCTCTTTCTCTATTACTAATCGTTCGTTCAGTTATGGATGCTGCTCACTCGAAACAACGTCATCGAGTAAAGTCTCTATCTTATTCTTTCGTCTGTTTTCTCTCTTTTCTTTTTATACATAATTCTGATAATTTTACTTGAGAAGAATAAAATGAACAGGTATTTAAAAGAGAACGAAATTTGTATATAACGGAGAACAATTCGGTATTTAAATTAAAATTTGACATTAAAACAGAACGGAAATAAGAAAAGAGAACGGTCATGTAATTAAAAGAGAGAACGGAACGGAAATCTACTTTTAAATTTACTTTATTGACTTCTAGTGATAAACATCAAAAATTCTCTTATGTATGTACAATAAAACGTCTTCATCATCTTACTGTACACACCAGCTTCTCAAATCCTCTGATGAAAATGAAGGTGGACATTTGCGTCGATAGTAGTCAACCAAACTTCGAATCTGTTTTGGGGTTGTTGCTTGAGGATGATTGATTGTTACTGCACGTCGTATTAGAGTCTCAGAAAGACCGGCCGCTACATAAGTTTTTTCGTTACCTCAAATAGGAGATGATACACGTGTTGTTGATGCTCTATTATTATGATTATACCCACCACACGTCAAGATTTCAAATCTTTCATCGTTGCTCATGCTGATTTGATAGACACTTTATGAAATATTTTAAGAAACAAATATACCGTTCTCCATTCTGTGAAAATTCTGTTCTCTATTTAGAGATTTGTGCTAATGCTTTAGTGGTAATATTTGCCACTGCTTTCCACCATAATAGATATAGGTGGTTGATACATATAGTTTTTTATGAAGTCATTTCTCTCTATAACAATCCATTTTTAAAGATCAAAAGAGTTCCTAAGCAGTATTAGGGAACAGAAACTCTATTTTGAAGAAGAGTGTCAGAGAGCGGGTAAATTATGCTTGAGAGCTCTCTGCTCTGACACGCTTCGTTACCCCTTCTTTATTTGAAAAAGTTTATAAAATCAAGAAGGAAAAACGCGAAGAAATGTAGGAGTGTACACTGTAGTAAACTAACTAAGATGAAGAGAATACATTGGTATAATACATTGGTACAAAAAGAAAACATATGACGGTCGAGAGATACCGAAAAGGGGTAATGTATACAATATATATGTCTGTATAGATGAACAAGAAATACCAGAAGATAAATGATGATCACGCGTCTGACATGTGAAAGACTGATGACCTAGAACAATCAAAGAAGGAAGAAAGTATACTTCAAAGGCAAAAGTGTAAAAAAACCATAAAGAGGAGCAAGACTATCTATACCAGCTGAAGAAGGCTCGAAAAGAATTAAATGTTAATATAAAGGTGATTAAAACGGAGCACGGATGCTATATGCCGATTGACCATGCAATCAAAACTGTATGTATAGCATCAGAAGTTTTCAAGTCTCATAAAAACATGACTTCGACATTATTCTATTCAATTGTTGTTCACAAATCCAGAACAGTTCAAAAATGTGAGGACAACGTTGATAATCAGATTATCACTTGATGGCAATTAGTTGGAAGAAGCTTCTCATTATCACAATTAGCTGTATTCAGTTTGGAGAGGAAGGTGAAAATAGAAGTGCAGTCGATATTTATTGACTAACTTTTGATAGAAAACAACTAGAGAGCTCCGGTTTTCGCCATGCGAAAGAGGAGACTCGGGGGCATGCTCTCACGAGTAAAATGAGTTTGTAGAAGAGTTTTCTGAAACAGGTTTTCTAGGAGATCTTTGTAAAACCAGGTTGGTCGAATGTACAACGTTACCAACAGGATTGTATTCATCTTTTTTAATGATCTGGTAGCACTAGATCTTCTCTTCAAAACGGGAGTTAAGCGAGGTCTTGATTTTCCGCAGCTTGAGCGTTGTACTGAATTCCCTAGGAGTCCTAGGACTGGCACCATGTGACTATTGCCAGCTCTGAGAATTGGTGAATTATAGATAATCCGCTCCGCTCAGCCTCGTGGCGGTATTTGTTTTAGGAGCACTTTTAAAAATCTAAAGAAAAATAATTTTAACGAAAAATTACATTTTTCAGGCTATTTTCGCCTAATATTAAAAGATTCATTATTCACAATAGTATATAGAAGAGCCTAAATGCTCTACATTCTCAGGTTTTGAACTCGTTCTGATGTTTTTTGAGTGAATAATGAACTGTATTTATTAGGCGAAATGTATGAATAATACAACTTTCTTTTCGTTAGATTTTTGAAAGTTGTAAAAACAAATATCCCCACGAAACTGAGCGTAGCGGATTATCTATAATTCACCAGGTGTCAAGGTTATCAATAGTCACCCGGTCAGCCTCTGTCTCGAATGGCGAAAACCGGCGCTTTCTAGCTGTTTTCTATGAAAAGTTAATCAAAAAATATCCACTGCTCTTATATTTTGGAAATAAATGGAAATCCTTATTTTCTCAATATTTAGTTCAATCAGAGAACTCTTATTTTAATTGTGATATGTTTCAAAATCTTAGTTCAACAGCTATTACACAAATATTATCAACATTTCAAACAGATTATTGGTTAAAAGAGAAAAATTGTCAAATAGTGTGCGGTAAAAATGTTTTTTCATCCGTATTTCATAAAATTTTTTATCGTCAGAGATGTTTGAGTATAACCGTACCTGGTCTAAAACAGATCAAAATAAACGATCTTCAAGCGAATTATGTGACGGATCTGAGTATCAATGGTTTTCATGACGACGAGAACAAAATCAATATAGAAAATGAACAGAATCAAGGTATAATCATTTTTTTTATCTGCACTGAGCGCTCCTAGTGCTAATGTCGTCTGTTTATACCCTGTCTCGCAGCTATAGGTCGAGCCGAGGTCAGTCTTTTAGTAAAACCCATAAGATTTATAACTTGGTGACGGCACTTCTCTATCAACGCCTCATCTGATCAATATGGTTCCTTCAGACTTTATGTTTGTTATATTATGTATATGTGTCCTGTCTGCGGACGAAACTTTGTACGAGCTGATCGAGAGATATATCTGAAACAGGTGTTTTTTTCCAGTATATTGACCAGTCTACTTATCGTTCTAGCCATAGACAGACAAACGATAACTAAACAATCGTCGATATACGATGACTACTATACTATGTGATTCAACATAAAGTAAAAACTGTTTTTTGCACTGTGTTCGTGTGGGTAGAGCATTCTATGTACAGATGTAATGGATAAAGGCGTATTTAGGAGATGTTTCGATTAACCCTTTGGGTACGTTATTTTTTTGGAAAGATGCAAAAAATTTTGATTTTTTTCATAAAAGCCTAAAATAGGGCGTATAGGGCATGTAAAGAAACAGTGGATTCCATGAGGCTTTATGGAACCCCATAAGATTTTGAAATTGCGCAGTCAAGCTGAATGGTGCAGAATCCTATAGAATCCTGTGGGTAGTTCCATAGAGAACTTTGAAAACCCATCTCATAATATAGATCTAATAAAATCGAACATCTGATCGTCTGTGAGACCAGAGCTTTAGCAGTAGCACCTGCTCCATGACGCAGCAATGGTTCTGGTATTCTATGCGATTTTACATAATCTGTTTGGTTTCATGAGACTCTAAAAGACTTTGAACTTAGAGATTCCACTGATTATCGTACACTTCCAAATCTAAAATTCCTTATTTCTCCCTTGATCTACATGCATAATGGTACCAGACGATGATGCTGTGATACTAGCAACATAATGGAAAGTGAGAATACTCTTGTGGCTTAGGAAATTATAATCTCTGCAAAAGATCAAAACGTATATATACGGGTCCCGTACCCAAAGGGTCAATGCATATCTAATTATATTTATTTACTCAAGCTTTTAACCGTAAACATTCAGTAGTTTTTTTATGTCGTCATCAGAAATTACTTCATGATAACCGTCAAAAGGATTTGGCGTAGAAACTTTATTCAAAGGTTTTCTTCTGATCAAATAAACTAGTAAAACAACTGTACATCTAACTATCACAACCGAAACTGCACAGGATACACCAAGAGAAATTTCTTCATTAGCAAAACCGCACATTTCTGAGAGACAGGTACGGATCCGTGACTGGTAGATGGTTTAGTAGATTCTGTTTCTCCGGTAAGACAAGTAATGGAAAAGGGATTTTTTCATCCCATGTAGTCCGTTGGATGGTCTATCCGATAATGCGACCAGATCGTTTTTACGTTGGATCTTCAATCCGATACCAAAGGTCTTCTAAGGATCTTAGGGATTTATATTGTTTGACGCTGTTCTCGAGCTTCTGGCTTAAGTATAAAACGAGATGCACTTTTTCATAGACATTCAGATGTGGACTATCCGAATCTGGTCTAAAAAGTTTGAAGTCTTATAAAGATCTCTGGAAAATCTTTTGGGTTTTCTGGAAACCCCTGGAGTGTACCAAAAAGTTTTTAAATTATATAATTTGAAAGAGCACAAAATTCTTGTTTAAATGATGACTATGTGTGTGCGTTTTTTTAGAAGATAACAGTGATGTTAGATATCCAAATATATCCAAAGTGTAGTAGACTGATGTTACAAGGTAAAATTATAGCTCCTCGTTCAATAATGACTTGTTTAACAAAAACGATAAAATTATTAAATTTAAAACATCTGGATCTTTCATTTTATTGTTCTGGACTTGTATTATTAGAATTATTGAAACAGTCACCAAATATTCACACCATAGAAATATCATCGGCATTTTTAAAAGATTTAACAAATATTAAACAACTTCGTCCATATACAAATAATCAAATTAAAAAATTAATATTAGGTTATCATCATCACTTTTATCATTGTTTTACAAGAGAAAAGACGAATGATTTATTGTATATTAAATCAAGTACCCCGATGAAGGTACAAGGCATTTCACATAGATTATGAGTGTTAAACTCAAGCCTGTGTCTTATAGGCCTCTAATTGCCGTTTTTCAAGTTACTAAATAGGACCAATCCGTCTAACAGGACGCACAATACTCCTGCTTATTTTTTTGAAGGCTGCTTTATGTACATACGTAGGTGTCGCGTATTCCTTTCTGAAAAAGTTCTGGAGTAGGGTTTGAAGAACATGGTGTACGAGTACATATGGCATGGAACGTTGGCGATGATAAATTAATTAAATAACGATTATTGGATACACCGAAAGCTATAGGTCATCTACAATGTCAATCATGTTCCTCTAAGCCACAATTGTCGTCCATTATCCCAGTTTCTAAAGAACGTAAAGCTCTGTCCGATCGTCCCTCGATTACCACAACAACTACAGTCGGATCGGCGGCTCAGGCTAATAGAAGTAAGCTGTATGACTGTCCTGAAGAGGGATGTGTAGTTTCGTTTATCAGATAGGTAAATTTAACTCAACATTTACGTACAGGAAAACATCGACGTCGAATAGAACGCAGTTCCAAGAAGGACATGGGTATGGCTATCTATCACTAGTAACTGGAAAATATTGGAGTAAGATCAATGATTTGTCTTCAATTAGAAGAGACTACACTTGATGACGGTGATGATACAAACCATATTACACCACCTGACAGAGGATGGGCTTTGCCAAAGGAACGAAAGTGTCACGTCTGAATGAACCTCAGATACAATATCTCACTGAGAAGTTCGATGAGGGTGTACAACAGAGAATTCGATGGAAACCAGAGGAAGTATCAGCTGAAATGCAACGAAAGAACGATTTGAAGGATAGATAATCATCATCTCCAGCTTCCTCTCGAAACCGAGCAGTGTCACCAGATAAAAGAGCTGGATCAACGACTGATGTTCGTCCGGCTAAAAAACGTTCGTCATCGAGGAAACGTACTGGTGTCAAATAAAATATTGAAATTATTTATAATATGTCTGTCTATAACCACTTGTACCCTCATCAGTGTACTTGATTTAATATAAAAAGTGCGTTTTTTTCATGAAAGATTGCACTTTTAAAAAAAATGATAGTATAATTACTTTGATGGTAATAATTGCAAGCAATTTTTCAACATGTTCCTGAGGTTGTGAAAGAAAGTTTTATAGCTCATTATATAGAGAATTGTGCGCTCTACAAAACGCACTGAGTTACATTTTGCGGGAAATCTACTGGATGGAGAAAAATAAACTTTATTGAAAAAATTTTGTTTTTAAAATTAGTCATCTTTCAAATGGTAGGCTTCTGGAAAATCCAGTTCCCGGTCGAAAAAGTTTAGAAACATCTGATTTTGTTCATTTTTTGATGGACTTTGGAACGAGACGTCATTCGAATAGAACGGATAAAATTTGACGAAGTTATAGGCAAAAACTCACGGAGGGCGCTTCTTTGAAAATCTTCGATACACCTAATTTTATAAATTCTATAACTCGGCGAAATCAAGTCCAAACGACCTTAAAATTTTTTCATAACCCCAGTTTTGATCGTAGAACCCAAAAATAGAAAAAAATATATAGGTCAAAAAATTTCACTTGACCGACTTTTGGCACTATGGTTGATGTGGTGGCAAAATGTCTCTTAAGAAAAGAAATCGGCGTGTCTGCGTAACGCGACGCTTCGCTGATCAAGTTTTTTTAAATTTTTTTTCATCTGAAAAGCGATAGGGACACATCTCTAGACTCAATTTTTCACGGTGATCGCAACTATGGCTTTTATTTCGAAAAACAAATTAATTTTCAATATAAAAATTTAAATTTAAAATTTTTAAAAACTTTAATTTTAATTTCCTGGTCTGGATTGTTTGGTCAAAAATTTCAAACGTATACCATTCTGTAGAGCAGTCAATTCTCTAAAAAAAATGGCTCATTTTGTTCTGAGATTTGTTTCTCAGTCGAGACACTGTGGCTGCTTTAACTTTTCCAATGCATTTTCTGCCTTTCCAAAAGAGTGCGGAAAATATTTTTTTGCGGTTGAATAATCCATCCAATTCACTACAAAATGTTGTGTTTGAAATAATTTTCTATCGCTTTCTTCTTTGAGAACTATTTACCATTTTCCAAACTGCGAAAAATTTAGGGCTCGTGGCTGGCGTCATGGGTCGAAAAGTTTATCTAGAGACCCTGAACTTCAAGCAAATTTCCTGCTTTTTTTCAGCATAGATAGAGTGAGGTGAGGCGCGTAAAATGGCGCAAGAACCAGCTCTATAGCTATTATAGTTTTACAGAAAAATAACAGTTATGGTGTCAAAAATGTCACAGCGTCACGTTTGGACAAGCTGAAATAATGATTTTTCTTCTATGCGACTGATATTTGCTACTTTAATAATACTTTTGTTTTTTATGTTACTATTCATTCTTTCTTAGCAACTAACATATAGTTTTCTTTTGTTTTCTGTTATTTGAAGAATAACAGGAAACTTGCAACACTTTACAGCTCAGTCAGCACGAAACGTACGAGAAAAGTTTCTGGTAGTTTTGATTAGTTTGATGAGCTTCGTCGAATGGGAGTGTCAGTTTGACAAAAAAAATTTCAACTTTTTGAGATCTACCTGAAGAGATGCCCATAAGAATCGCTGCATGAGCGAAACAACAAGTGATGCTCAATCGATGTCTCAGATTTGCTTCTGACTACTCCTTCTTGTTCAACATGTGTGAAAACCTATAAATCCAAATTTTGAGCCTTCTGGGACTTTTACTTTCGGAGTTCTGGACGATTCTCTAGAATGGAGAAATTCAGCGTCTAAAAGAATGAAGAGCAAAAATGAAGATTCTGTTTCTCCGCCAATGGAAGAGGGATTTTTTCATCCCATGTAGTCCGTTACACGATCTACCCGATAATGCGATCGGATCGTTTTTATCTCGGACCTTCAACCCTACACCGAAGGTCTTAGAGATTTATATTGTTTGACGCCGTTCTTGAGCTTCTGACCTAATTATAAAACGAGATGTACTTTTTCATAGACATTCAAGTGTGGTCTATCCGAATCCGGTCTCAAAAGTTTGGAGTCTTATAAGGATCTCTGGAGGTCTTTGGAGGTTTCTAGAAACCCTTTAAGTTTCCCAAAAAAGTTTTTGAATTGCATAATTGAAAAGAGCACAAAATTCTGAACTAAATGAACTATTCCTCAGCAATTACTTTAAAAAGGTGAGAAAATAACAGATGTTCAATCAAAAATGGTTTACTATAAAACCTAATTTTTAGGTTGTCAAATTTATGGCTTAGAAAAGCTGAAAAACTATCAGTGATACCTCATTTTATTCAGAATTTTGTGCTCTTTCAAATTATGTAATTTAAAAACTTTTTGGTATATGGTTTGGAAAATTTTCTGACCAAAAACCAAAGAGTTGGTTGTCTAGCCTTCAGATTTTCTAAAAACCCTGCTACCGAGTTTCCTCATAAAATGGCGGTATGCGCCTTATCTGATAGAAAAATCTTCGGACTATTCAAAACAGTGTTCAGATTGGTTCCAGCTTTTGCTGAAAAAATCAAAAGCAAAGAAGTTCTTATGATTATGACACACCGTGCTGCACATATAACACTCAAACGCTTGTTTTGCATGTCTTTAATGTCCGGCTCCTCCTGTCCAGATTTTCTGACCAGCTCAGTTTGTAGCGAATTTCACGGACTATCCAACGGTATTCTTTTGGAACATATATAGTTTTTCATTAATACAGGAAAGACCTTTAAAGTCAGTGCTTACGCCGACCGTTTACTTCGACTTTAGTCGCACTTTCTGTAACAAATTTGCTTATCCCAAACTTTTGACGGCGATTCTAGATAGCACACTGGGCATACTATCTACTGCAAGTAGTCCGACTTCAATGTAAGTTCATAATAATGAGATCGATCGCCCACAAAAGTGTTCCATGAAACTCCGTTTCGGTCTTGCCGTAATGTATGGGATAAGAGGTATACATAATATTTGTATGTCATTATATGGTAGACATCAATTACTACCTGTCCTGAAAAAATCGCGGCTTCATCTCTTCTCGTTCACGAGAAAAACGAAATGTACATGTTTCACACGCATAACTTCTCAAACTTTACTCCAGTCGAAAAAATTTCATATCTACAGAACGAAAAGTTCGGGAAGCCAACAAATTTGGATTCATAGGTTTTCGACCATGCTCTACAAGATGAAGCTGCTTAGAAAAAAATCTGAAATAGTCATTGAGCTTGGCATGGCGTAGGTTATGTGCAATGGCTCTTAAGTGGAATATACCAACTATCTGATCATTTTTAGACACGAACGAGATCTTTATTTATTCTATTTGTTGTAATTATTAGACCTACCACTGAAAAAAAGATTTTGAAATCCTGCTTGCCAATCCAACAGTTGGTAAAAATCCTGTGGATGTTAGTTATATTCTGCAGGTTTTTGCAATAAGCTGCCCTGCCGAAAACTTTCCTCCACGTTGCCAGATATATTTCGCAGGATTTTTTACTCTGCTAACTCAGCGAAACTTTTTCCTCTGTCTTATGATTTGTGGCACGGCAGATAGCTGGCTACGCTTACCCTACAAGGTCTGTAGGATTTTATTTTGAAGAAAAGAAACAGTAGCTCGCAGGAAAAGTGGGTACAGGGTCGATGTGGCAGTAAATATAAATAAGAAATGTATTGTTTAAGCTAAAAAGACCGATAAAATTGTTGAAAAGAAGCTGAGGGAACATTCTAAAATATATTCTTATTCTATTCAGCTATTTCGCAGTCACTACAGAATATTTCATTTTATACTAGTTTTGTTATATATCAAACTTTATTTTATTTTCTAATTGTTTGTACTTCTTCAAAGACAGTCAATCGTCGTGTTTCAAAAGATTTCTGATTGAGAAAAAGCTTTTCAGCCATTAATTCATTGTTTTTGCTGAGTTATGAAATTTTTGTCACTACCATATGTCCCGGTATAAGCAAACAAAAAAAGTTCATAACTTTTGAAAGGAGCAACAAGACCTCAACCTTTTAAGCTTTTTACTTGAACCCTATCCAGGCTTTCCGACTGTTTTTAATCAGAGTCGGGAGATTTCTTTGGCGGACAGTCTTTTTATAAAGCTGGCGGACACACAGTGGGCATTTTTTGCTAGAGCAAGCGGACTTTAGCTTTATGAGTGAACTAAAATTTCATGAACCATCTTTTTATAGGTTTTTCATGATCCTCTTTCTAATGGCATGAGAGTTGGGTTTTAA